AAATCTTAAAAAAAAAGAAACAGATAGAGATGGTCGACAAAACTGCAATTTTGTTCCTTAAAAAGGTGAGTACTGTTTATAAGTGTCTAGCAAGGCTGACCGAGAAAAAAACAGAGAAGCCCAAATTACCGAAATGAGGAACAGAAAAGAAACATCGCTACAGATGAGTGACAGGTTATCCTGACAGAAGGTACATGTTGGTAATAAAGTAATAAGGTAACTCATTAGGTAATAAGTTTATATTGTAACTGTTCCTGCACCAGCAAACTAATTCCAAAGCTTCCACCCAGAACAGCCAGCACTACTAAAGGGGAACAGAGGTGGAGGGCTGATATCGCCCGGCGTCAAGAGTTACTGCAAAGCGACAGTGGTCAGAACAGTGTGGAGTGGGCGGAAGAAGGACAGAGAGACCAACAGGACGGGAGAGAGATCAGAGACACAGACCCATGTACGTACGGGCACCTCATCTTTGACAGAGGGGCGCAGGCCGTACGGCGGAAACACAAGAGAGTCTTTTCAACCAGTGGTGCTGGAACAACGGGGCGGTCACACGCAAATCATCATCATCATCTTCATCCAAACACAGACCCTCCACGCTCCACAAAAAAGAACTCAAAATACATCACAGACCAAAATGTAAAACACCAGCTACAAGCCCCATAGAAGACAGCATAGGGCAGAGCTGAGGTGACCTGGGGTATGGGGACGGCTTTTTAGATACAGCTCCTCAGGCGCAATGCAAGAAAGAAGGTCGTTGGATGTCATTAAAATGACAATCTCCCATCAAGCAGCTGGCAGGGAAGAAGGCGGCTGGCAGGACCCGCGTCAGCACCGCCAAGCAGGAGCACAGGCGAGTGTGAACCTACAGCTGACCTTGGAAAGCGTTTTCCTATTGGGATAACAGCCAGTTGTTGTAAACCACCGAGCTAGACCTCAGCGGGGACAGTGGTCTCCAGGCCACCCAGCCTCTTGGCTTCATCATGCCAGACCTGAGTTGTGTGAGAGGCTTGACAAGATTCTGAGAAAAGGAGCGGAGGCTCACGGGACCCCCAGAGTCCTTGACTTAGACATGGCATGCCACCTCCTACAGCCTACAGCAAGTCCCGGGGCCAGCCCAGGTCCAAGGGCGGGACGTACACACCTCCCTAGATGGGAGAAACTGCCAAGTCACGTTCAAGGGGCATGGATAAGGGGAGGGGGTGATCGGGTCACGCTGGCAATCAAGCTGTCATAATGGAGTTGTCACTTTAAACAGTCCCCCAGGGGTCCTGAGTCCCAAGTGGCCTTTGGCAGAAGCCAGGACAGTCAAACGCTCCGGGACAGCCCAGGAGATAGATGACTCAAGAGGAGAAATGAATGATGTCATGCCGGCAATGAGCAGTTTGAAAAGGCAGATCAGGAGCTTTGCTACTTCTTGCCCCCGAGCATCAGAGGCCCAGTGACCTTGGCAGCCCTGGGTTCACAGCCACAGGGTCCCCTTAGGAGGTGCCCCCCATGAGCACGGGTATCCCTCCCAAAGGCAGGAACCAGCCGGTGCCACCAACAAAGCACCCAGAGCTCCCTCGGGTGATTACTGGCATTAAAAAAAAAATACTTTTAAAAACGGGCCAAACATCCTTAAGAACAAACGCCAACACAAACTCGAAGATCGGTTCATGCCGCAGAAACGGTGCTGAAATGTCATTTTCTGCAAAGGCTGAACTGTCTGGTGGCACCGCCGTGTGGCAGGTCCGCCGCGTGCCACAGCTCTCAAGCGCCAGGAGAGGCCGAAGTGTTTGGCACTTGGACCCAATATTCACATTCAGGCGTGAAGGCAACCGCCTCTCGCTTGCTGCTTTCTGCTGACATATGGCGGCGACGGGCCCTGTGCGGTCTGCCCGCCCAACGCAGCGCAGTTTCACGGCCAATCTGGGCGCGGAGGGCTCGCCGCCTGCCGCTCTCTGCTGGTCACGTGTCCTTCCTAATTCGCTCTACCAATTGGGGACGACAGAAGGCACCGACTCCCTTCTCGGGGATTTAAACCGTGAGCAGTCATCTGTATGCACAGAGTGTGCCCACGAACTTCGGAGAACTTGGCTTCTGCGGAGCCCGGAGCGCAAACGCTGCCGAAGCAGATGCCATCTCCAAAATATTTACCTGATGGACACTTGGCAGCTTCTAAAGTAAACTCACGAGTGGTTTTTTATTTTATTTTATTAATTTTTTAATGAATCCTCCCCCCATGATATATTTATTGATTTTAGAGAGAGGGAGGAGGGGAGAGAAAGAGAGGGAGAAAAAACACCCATCGATGGGAGAGAGAAATGCCTTCTATAAGCACCTCAACAAGGAATGAAACCCACAACCCATGCATGTCCCCTGACCGGGGATCGAACCCAAAACCTTTTGGTATATGGGACATCATTCCAATCAACAAAGCCACCCAGCCAGGGCTTATTAGCGGCTTTTTAGATTGAAATTCCAGCAGCTGTCAGCCAAGGAGGAGCTTAAGTACTTCACAGGTGAGAGAGTATGGACAGCCTGTCCATCAAAAAAGTGTGAATTTCAATATCAGCACCGCCTCTTACTGTCTGAGTGATGACGTGCAAGTTACTTAACCTTTCTTGGCCTCAGTCTCCCCATTGAGAAAACTGTCTAGAATACAAACTGTCCCACAGGGTTCTTTGGAGAATAGAATGTAACAATACATGCAATACACTTAGTCCAGAGCTTGCAACCTAGGAAGCACTCCATAAATGCTTAGTGTTACCACTTTCAGTATCACTGCTAACAATTTAACATGCAGGCGGCTTCCAGGGCTGGGACAGCGAGGCCCAGCAGTATATGACTCATAGACTCTCAGCAGCAGAGCTAATGCCGGTCCAAGCAGGACTGACACTAGCCCCTTGGGGGCAGTCACCTGGGAAGGTGGCTCAGAGTCCAAAGTCCATCACTGGACTCGGTCACGTGTCACCTTCTCACTCCATCTGGGCTGAACCACCAGTAGCAGAAGCCAAGACAGACTTCAGAAGGAAGAAGGCAAGAACTGGGCTCGGGGCCTCAGCAAATGCTGGAGCAGGGAGCCAAAGACAAAAGAGCTGGAAGGGTCGCAGCCTGATGCTCAGGTCAAACTGCACTGGTCGGGGGGCCGGGAACTCTCCAGGCCCCGCCCATGGGCTGGAGGGAGCCAGCTCCCACCAGGCAGCCAAGTCCAGCCCTCCAGGACTGAAGGCAGCACGGGACTGAAGCTGCTCCTTGACTGTGGGGACACCACCATCTCCCTCTCTGAGCTAAAGGGAGGAATGACACCCCAGTGAAGGGACAGCCCGGGGCCCACAGCGCCCACCAGCAGCGATCAGAGCAGAGCTAGAACCTGAAACAGCGACTATCACCTGGAAGGTCCTGTCCATGGCGCCCCGGCCCTCAGGTGACACACAAGCCAAAGGATCTCAGGCTCAGAATTGTCAGCAGAACTTCTCTTCTAGGGCCATGCCGCTCCTAGTGGTTTTCAGGGAGTGGGGCAGAACCTGCAACTGGTACTATCCCACATTGATGTGTTCAAACCTATCTGCTCTCTCAGGTCCAGGGGTGCCGAAGACTTGAACAATCCCTCATTTCAGAAACTGTAACAGTCTCTTCGTGGTCTGGCAGAGACTTTTGGCTCATGCGAATGTCCCTAGGTTGGGAGTCAGTCAACAAACATTTACTGAGTGTGTACTGTACGCTGAACCCGGTGACAGGGACCAGAGGGAACAACAATGATGGGAACAAGTTCTGAGTTCCAAGTGTGGGTGAGGGACAATATGTAAATGAGTATATAAGGCCAGGATGTGGTATAAAGAAAAGAGTCCACGTGAGCACACCCTGGAAGGTAAGAAAACTTTGAACTTGTAAAGCCTTATGATAGCTCCACCTTAACTGCCTAAACTCAAGAGAACAACAGAACCACCTTTAGCTGGGGATCCTTAGAAAGAAAAGAAATAGCTACAGCGGGCAAGATTTTACATCTCGATGTGAGATTAAGCGCTCCGCAACAGCGCACAAACTCGGACTTTTTGTAAGGGACAACGGGACAGGGTTAGAAACCGATGACCAGTTGCTGGATAAGGAATGGAAGATGAAACAGGAAAAGGAAGCCGAGAGCGGGAAAAGAGGCGTGGGCGTGGGCAAGTCATCAAAACCACTGGAAATCGTTGCGGGCTATGATACTGAAGTCGGGAAATCTTTCCAGGCGGGGCAGAAACTTGCATGGCAGGTGCTGTTTAGAAACCACCTGATTCGTCACACGACCTTATTTACAGCGAGAAGACTGGCCCGTCCAGCCATTCCCAATTGAGAGAGGGTGTCGCCCAGAGAGAGAACCACAGCCCCAATTCCCGCCTTAAGAAAGCGTGGGAACTTAGAAACTCCGGAGAAGAGGGTCTCAGGAAGCTGGAGGTTCGGGCGTGCCATCTTGCCTATTCAGGTTCCGAGGATTCGGCCCCGAAATCCCACAAGGAAATGCTGCTGGACTCCCTTTTCCTGCACAGCTATTTCCCCTGGGGCACGGCAGATGTAATCATAAACATTGCCGGTTCAGCCACAACTTCTCGTTCTTGGACGAACCCTGTGACTCCAGCGAAGGATCCCACGATGCCAAAAAGCCCCGCCCCCATTCGTAACCATAGGAACGGAGACACGCCAAGCCGGGGATTCCCGGTTCCGCCCCCTCCTACCAAAGATTGTTTCCCACTATCTGTCCACATGGGCGCACCGCCTCACTATTGGTCAGCGCCCCAGCACTGTGCCTCGCCCCAGCCAATAAGCGGCCTGTGCACGTGCACAGCTGCGTATCCCCATAGGTCACCACTACCTGATCACGCACTGCCTACCTGCCATAGCCGTTGCGTGGGTCTCCAATGAAGTGACTCAGTAGCGACTTACAACCAATCCGCACCAGCCAGGGCTCGCGTCCGACCTATGGGCGCGCGCCGGGGGTGGGCTGTCCCGGCCCAGTTCCACTCCCAGCGGGGTTTGTTAAAGCGACAGGAGCCACGGCGCGCTAGGGTTCCTCCGGCCACCGCACAGCTGGCACTGCGGCCCTCCATGTGCGGCTGGCGCCTTTGACAGCAGCGCCACTTTGCTTCCGACCCCCGATCCGGGCGCTGCCTACCTATTTGGCGCGGGCACGGCCGCGTCGCCCGGCGGGATGGGCGGCGAGGCGAGGTCCGCGGAGGCCGTGAGCTCCGAGGGTCGCGTGAAGAGCCTGGGTCTGGTGTTCGAGGACGAGCGCAAGGGCTGCTACTCGAGCGGCGAGACAGTGGCTGGGCATGTGTTGCTGGAGGCGGCCGAGCCGGTGGCCCTCCGCGCGCTGCGCCTGGAGGCCCATGGACGCGCCACTGCCGCCTGGGGCCCCAGCGCCGGCTCCGCAGCCCCGGCCTCCGTCTCGGAGGTGGAGTACCTGAATGTGCGCCTGAACCTGCGCGAGGCCCCAGCCGGTGAGCGCGGCGACAGCCCCGGTGTCCCCTCCGGGCCGCGGGCGCCTCCAAAGAGGGGGTGGGGGGGGGCGGGCTGGGAGATGCCCACATGCCAGGTATGCGACAGCCGGCGTCCGGGGGTGGGGTCCGCCTGCGGGGTGACCTGAGCCTCAGTTTGGTCACTGGTGACCCGCGGGTAACAATGCCTGCGCCCCCACCTTACAGCCTGGGGTGGGGGTGGGGGACAGCGTGCGCGTTGGGTGCAAGCCTCTCACCTGGCGCGCCGGGACCTTCCAGGACTGTTCTGGGAGGGAGCCGTTGTCATGGAAACCTATGATGAACAGTCAGGAATCCAGCCCCCTGGGGATCGGGGTCTTGTCCCTTCTGGCCAAAGGAACGGAGGGCGGAACCAGAGTCCGAGGTTCCGTGCTCTGGTGCCCCGTGTTTCATGGGCCTCCCCTTCTTCCCACCCTGAATATAGAGGCTCCTTCTCGGTTCCTGATGAATTAGCAAAACCTCTGGAAGGGGGTAGTGGGTCCAGAGGGGTAGCAGTTCAAAGGAAGTGCTTCTTGACCATCACACTTGGTGTCCTTTCTCTGGAGCACGGGTAACTGAAGGGTTCGCCTCTGCCTTACTTTCTTTTTTATTATTTTTTTGCTGCTTTTGTTTCCTTTTCACCCAACCCCCCTTCACCAATAGGCCTTCCCAGACAAACGGTGTCTGGGGGAAAGGTCACCGTTCCTTTCCACTCTTGCGAAGGCCGGTGAATGGTGTAGGCCCTTCCAGAAGTCTCCATGTGGGAACCCATGATACGGGTGCACCAATGTGTGCATACGCTGATGCCCATTAATAATCAAATCACTAGGAACGTTGAGTCCTGGCCTTCTGGTAGTGGATGGACGTCATCCTGCCTTCCTTCCTCATCAGCCCGAAAGTAAAATGCACTGTATTTTTAACCCTTGCTGGGCCTTCTGCAAAATCAATAGAATGCAGTTTTGCCTGGTCCTACTGCGGAGAAGGAGGCTGCCCACAGTTCAGGGCTCAAGGCATGGGAGAACGGAGCCATGCCCACAACTGCTGTGAGGAGAGACACGCTTGGCACCAAAGCCCTGTGTTGGAATACCAGGTGCAGGGCGCTGGGGACCGTTGTTACCTGCCTGTGTGCGCTTTCATCAGCAGTATGGATCCCAGGCCCAGTCAGCTCACACCTGTCCCCAGAGGCAACAGACTACGCCGATTTTCAGAGGGCTGCCTGGAGGAAGGGGCCAGGGAGGCAGAAATAAACTGGCTTTTGGCCAGGACTTTGGACTCTGTCTCGGGGCCCATGACTACTGAGTAAATAAATGTAAGGTTAATAGCAGTTAGATCTGCTTAGCAAAAAAGAAAAAGTAGCCCAAAGAACAAAGAAATGCTTTGCTAAAATCTGGGCCAACCATGAGCCTTTCGCTCCACAAGTCAGATTCCGTGTTCTCCTTCTGATGGAATAGGATGGCCAAACCTAGACCACTTGGATGGCTTGCTTTTAGAATGGATCGTGACAAATAGTGGCCAAAACTAATGTTTCACTTAAAAATCATGGTTTTAGTCGATTTCGCACAGAGGACAAAAAAAAAAGATCACTCCTGTTATCTGTAGCTTGGGAGGAGTAGCAAGTTTGCACAGTTGTAGATTCTCGGGGCCATTTGATTCCAAACCCTGAGTTTTAATCACTGGAAGAAATGTTTAGGACACTGAGAGTTGGGGGCAAGTGCAGCTTTGGGGTCTGTTCCAGATGCCTCTGCAGATCACGCTAATCCCACTGTTGGCTGTCACTGTGATTGAGTTTCTCCATACTTCTGTTGAGAGACTATGATAGAAAGACCAGACAGACCACAGAGCTGGCTTTGGTCCTTGGGCGCCCACCAGCAGTGTGACAGTGTCCGGGAGCCCCTCTTCCCCTCCTGAGCCCGCCCCTAACTGTGCGGGGGTCTCCCAGCCCCCCATAGTACAGGACCCTGAGCTGATGAACCATCTCCCTGGGACAGGTGGACCTCAGTGCAAAAGGGAAGGGCTCGCCATTCTGTCAGGGAACCCTTCTAAGTAAATAGATGAGAAAGGGAAAGGAAGAGGTCAGCCTCGATTCCAAATACTGTGACCCACATGGGTCAACCCTCTCCACGGTTTTCCCTGCTTATGTGTTGAGGTGATTGAAAGGCTCGTTTTACACATCACAGTCCCCATGCTGATCTGTCTGGTCTGTGAGGCTGGAACATCCTCGCCCCCTGACCCCCTCTCAGCATCCTGGGTCCCTCTCTCCCCCCATCGGGCTGCCATGCCCCACCTCATGCCATTCCCCTCATGCCCTGCCAGCCTTGACACCCACCACTGTCCTCAGGGGGCCCATCCCCACCCCCACGGGCTCCAGGCCTCTGTGGCCCCTGCTTGTGCACAAGGGTCCAGCCTCTCCCCCCAGCCCCCATGGCTCTGTTTGAGAACCGGAGTTGCTGATCCTTCCACCCGGAGTGCCTGCCACCCGCACACCCCGCGTCCTGACCCCAGACGGAGACCGCAGTCCATCGGCCTGCGCCCAGGGTCGCACTCGCACTGCCGTCCAGCATGGGCTCACACCCCGGCAGCCTGTTCACTCTGCCTCCCGGTCACCCACCTGTGCACTTGTCCTATTTGAGTGACCTTGAGCAGCAAATATTTTGTTTCCCCCAGTGTGTCCCACACTGAAAACTGGGGACCAACTGGGAAAAGAGGGAGCCCGTGGGGTGTGCCTGCTTTCTGAAAGTGCAAGGTTCAAATGCTCGCTGAGGTGGTAGAGGTCTCAGAACTCCGGTATTTAGGTGAAAGAAATGCCCCATTTCACTAGGGATTGCTGCCTCTTAGTTCTGTACATGAATGGATGCAGTGGGCATCTTCTTTGGGTACCAAGGGACCAGGCAGACCTCAGAGGGCGTTCTCAGTCTGCGCTGCCCTGTCTCCACGTTAACTACCCGCCCCAAGGGAATCTCGCTGTCCACTGGAGTCTGTGGGCACCAGGCGAAGGGGAGGTTTACAGGGGTCTCTGCACAGCTCCCCGGCCAGCACTGCAGCAGGGAACTGGCCCTGGGTCCCAGCAGCGTGCAGGGCCTCTGGCCTCACCCGGTCCTCCCGCACCTGGCCGCTCGGCCTCCTCACCGTCATCCGGGATAAGCCACTGCGGGAAAGCACGCAGATCTGGCTGACCCCAGGCGGGAGGAAAGGGCCATGGCCACGCTTGGCCAAGCCCTCTGCACCCCAGGTTAACCGCCAAGAGACCCCACACGTCCGCAGACCTTGAGCAGAAGTGAGTTGCTCGTAACTTGCCCCGTTGGTTGGCTGTTCAGTATTGTGCTCAGTCCGCACGATACTCGGGGTAAAGTTTCACCTCCTTGTCCCCGTCTGCCCGAGGTGCACGCAGTCTGATTTTTAGGGCATATTCAAGAGAAATAGAACGATTTTTTTTTTTGCTTAGTTTTCAGTCAAATTTAATACTGGTATCTGTTAGTGTAATAGTGTAGTCATGCTAGTGTAGGAGTGGACTAAACATGTTTGGGTGTCTATATACATACATGTGTATGCATGTCTGTGTGTGTGCATGTATTATGTACATGGGAGCTCTGCACCCTGACACTTTATGGTGGTTACTTGTGTAATTGTCTATTTGAAGACAGAAGCCTATATGTGTATATATGTGTGTGTGTGTGTGTGTGTGTGTGTGTGTATAGTTGGTACAAACGAATTCAAATTTTAATTCTCTCAATCTCAGTTTACTGAACTTTTTGGAGTAGACTAGATGTGACAGCCAGGAAAACCTCCTTTAACAAACACCCGGTTTAGGTGGTGAACTTCTTCCCCTAGTGCCAACCCCGGTTAAATAAAATGCATTCTCTGTTTCAGGTGAAGGCGCCCTCTCCCTACCACCCGGCAAACACGAATTCCCCTTCAGCTTCCAGCTGCCGTCTGAGTAAGTGGGACCCCCGTAACAGCTGCGATTGCCCCTCCTGCCCCGTGTCCCCCTCCCGCACGCGTGGGTGCGAGTCTCTTCTGACTCTGAGGTGGGCGTGTGGTACCCTGCAGGCCCCCGAACACACCAATGCCGCTCACACTCATTTTTTTTTTCACCAAACCAACGTGTTAGGGGCCTTCCCTGCTTCTGGTCAAGCTGAAAAGGAAACTTAGACATTCACTTCTTTGGCTTGGTTCAGTCTCCTAGTCACGTCGTTCACCGGGAAGTACGGAAGGATCCAGTACTGCGTGCGGGCGGTGTTGGAGCGGCCCCGGCTGCCGGCCCAGAGCGTGCAGCGGGAACTCCAGGTGGTCGGTCACATCGACGTCAACACGCCAGCACTGTTAGTAAGTTTTCCTCCTTCCCGCCCTCCCTCCTCCTCCGCAGCGGGGGCGCATCCGCCGTCGGCCAGCTCAGAGCTCCTCTGTCCCGTACCCACTGATCCAATCTTGTCACCCACAGCCATTCCCTCCAGATCACGTGTGTCCATCCCGTGGATCTCGGCCCGGCTGTTCTGGGCCGCTTCTGCCAAAAAGTGACACAGGCTCGGAACTCATTCATCAGGCTTAATAACAATAATGCTCGCACAGAGAGGGGTTACTTTTCACCAGCGCGGCCACGCTCCCAGGGCTGTGGGTGTTCTAAAGTCTTCAGTAATAGCAGGTTTGGAGGAGCAGTAATTACGGGAGAGTGTTAATCACGCCCAGCCCGCCATTGAGGCCCGGGCCATTATCCTGTGTCCTTCCATCCCGCGCGTCATTTTATGGCATTAAGTAAGTGCGCGCAGCTGTCTCGGGGCCCCTTTCACCGATCATTTCCTTATGACAGATTTGGCCACATGAAAGCATTGAACTTGTAATAGTCCCCAGAAATACTGGAGACTGAGCAGAAAGATGAGGCTTTAAGTAACAACAGAATAGGCAAGATGGGAGCTAATGAGCGAGATTCTTTTATCTCAACCCATATTATCAAAATAATATAAAATTATACCTTACGCTATCATGATAGCTACTGAGACCTAATGGTTCTTCATTTAAATATGAATGAATGAATGTGGGTTTTTTTTTTTTAACTCCCTAGCAAATACTGGGATAATTTGAACTTTCCATCGTGACACTGATGTTGACAAAGATGGATTCTTAGTGGTGGAGGTTTCTTTTTCTAGCCAATGATTTTAAAGATAAGGAAGGAAAAAAGCCTGGAGTTAAAAGTTGCTTAACTCTATGTTCGCACGAAAGTGGAAGAGAATTGACTCCGATGTTTACCTTTAGATTATGAAAATATAACAAGGATGCCCTGTTGGCACAGTTGTGGCCCGAATCACAAAATAACCGGCACCCAGCTGACCTGGTTTATAGCAGTGACCCGCTTACCACTGGTTTTGCAATTGGACACGGCGAAGTGTCTTGTATTTTTAAACACTGCTTAGAGTTGGGAGGTTAACTAGGACTAAACTCTTTAGGAGGACACGGTGACAGATGATTTTAAGAAATTTCTTTTCTGCCAAAAAGAGATACCATGTATCCTCTACTATCCTTTCTTTAAATAAAAGAGAAAAACATTGGATGAACTGTGGTTTGTAACCCAAGAATGGAGAATGGAAAACCTGGGGTCGTTTCGTTTGAGACTGTGGGACAGGAGGAGGGGCGGTACTTGGGGTCACCTTTTGTATCCGTGACGCTGGGTGTGGTGTGCCCGCCATTACACAAAACCCCAAATCCACTCGCAATTAAAGACACTGGAACTATAAGCCTTATAATGCATTTTGAAGTAATCAGAAAAAAGGGGGGGTTGTTTATTCCACATTTTAAAAATGCCAAAACAAACAGCATGCTCTGATGATTGACTTTTATTGCCATTTCTCCTTTGACCTCATCTAAATGGAGTCTTAAAATAGTGCTTCTGACACGTTAGTTGGCACTACCAGAGTTTGTGATGGCTTTCATAAGGAACGGTGTGTCATTTCCCAGAAACATCATGACCGTGAGGTAAAACAGGATGGCGTCACCCTGAACTGAATCCAGAACTTCACCTCCATTGCCCTGATAAGGGAATGATTTGGAGTGCGCTGTGTTTCAGTAAATACTTTCCCCAGTGTGTCATGTGAGAGAAGAAAAGCCTTTAACTTGTTTTTTGGAAAGACATTGTTTCATGAAGAATAACATTCGTTTCGAGTTTTACGGATTTTCTAGAACTGGTTTCATTAAAGTTGTCTTCTTCTTTGACATTTTCAAGACGCCTGTGTTGAAAACTCAAGAGAAGATGGTGGGCTGCTGGTTGTTCACCTCCGGCCCAGTCTCGCTGAGTGCCAAAATCGAGAGAAAGGGCTACTGCAATGGTAAGTGAGCACAGTGTCCCCAGAGTTCAGATGCAGTCCATTAATACTGCCGGTTAATTTTAAGTGATTTTAAATAGCGTGTTTTGTCAGCGACGTGGTATATATTATGTTAAAGTCCAAACAGATGCTTCTGTTCTCCGTACAAACCACTGATGTCTGGGTAGCTTTGAGCGGACTAGTCCGTTCCAGTGGAAGTCCTGGCGTCCTGACTTCCATCCCCTTCCCCGAGTGTCGAGGGTGGACACTGGCTGAAAGGGACACGCCAGAGCCTCACGTCCATGCTATGGGAGGATGTCCCCAGCAGCACCGCCCAGGGGGAGGAGGGCTTGCCGTGGGAAAACACGGCTGGGCGCACCCACTGCATGCTGGGGGTACGGTGCGCGGGGCTGGAGTGGAGGTCACGAGCAAGTTCCTCGGTCAGACTGATGTTAGCACTACCATGCGGGGAGCGCCCTGTTCTCTTCCGTGGGCCTGGGCCCCGCGGCTGGGTGCTGGGTCCTGGCTCACTGGAAGTGACCGGGAACGGAGGGGCGGTGGGTGTGAGCCTTGCCCGCTCCGTCCACGGCTTCATTTGTCCTCACCATCCGGCCTTTAAAAGCAAAGGCTGGTTCTCCCGCTGGCCAGGTGCTAACAGGGTGGGCACGAACACATTTGTTAGTGATCTTTTGTATTCAGCGTGTTCCCCTACCATGTCCTGGTATGTCCTGCCTTGATTTTTAAAAATACCAGTAACTGGCATCATGTGAGAACTGGTGGTCTAACACCGCTGCATCGGGAAAGGGAGGGACGCAGTAACTGGGAAACCGCGTCCGCCCCACCCTGCAGTCCTCGCTTCTCCGCCTGGGCCCCTCGGGCTGCGGCCGAGCTGTTGCCAGCCTCCCGGCTTCACCCCGTGATGGCGCTGTCGCACTGTGGTGAGAACTCTCTGGAACGTCTCTGAAGGCTTCTCGTTTCCTCTCCAGGAGAAGCTATTCCCATCTACGCAGAAATAGAGAACTGCTCCTCCCGACTGGTGGTCCCCAAAGCTGCCATCTTCCAGACGCAGACGTATCTGGCCAGCGGGAAGACCAAGACCGTCCGGCAGGCGGTGGCCCACGTGCGTGGGAACCACATCGCGTCCGGGAGCACCGACACCTGGAACGGGAAGATGCTGAAGATCCCGCCCGTCGCGCCGTCCATCCTGGACTGCTGCATCCTCAGAGTGGACTACTCCTTAGCTGTAAGCACAGCTCGAAGTGTGCAGGGTGGGGCGGTGCCAGCCTCTCGGGCCCATGGGTGTGCGCGCTGGGCACCTGGGGAAACGTCCTTCCGAGTCAGCAGCATGACAGCGAATGGCGGGACAGGTGGACCTTGGCCTTTGTTTTTAATCAGAAACTAGCCCCCTGGGGGGTTTCATTAAATGGCCTAAGAGAATCAGGGTGCATTCCCAGTGCCGGCTGTATTGAAGATGGGCTTCTTTTGCTGTAGTGCCTACGTGAGCCACACTCACACGCAGTGAGGTGCGTCCTGGCCACGCCCCCCATCCTTCAGTGTGCCCCGTGCTTGGTGGGCTCGTCCTGGGGTTGGTCCTCATTTTATCCGGTCTGGACGATGCACAGCTGTCGTGGGTGGGGGTGGCAGGTGACAAAGGCACTTCTTTCTACGAAAAATAATCAATCAGCTCTTCTTACTGCGAGGTTTAACTGCTCTTGTTCCTTTCTGCCTGTCTTGTGTGTGTGTGTGTGTGTGTGTGTGTGTGTCTCTCTCTCTCCCTGGCCCATCAGGTGTACATTCACATTCCTGGTGCTAAGAAGCTGATGCTGGAGCTGCCCTTAGTGATCGGCACAATCCCATACCACGGCTTTGTGAGCAGGAACTGCAGCATGACCAGCCAGTTCAGCGTGGACATGAGCTGGTGGGCCCTGGCGCTGCCCGAGCAGCCGGAAGGTAGAGGCCTGGGGTTCTTTCAGGACGGGCCGTACTCACAAAGAACCTACTAAGTGCTCAAATGCCATCCCACTTGCTACTGTGACTGTCCTCACTGCCACTACCCAACACAGTCTAACATCCCCCCTGGAAGGGCCTCTGGCGGTTAAGCTCGTCCCAGCCACGAGGCGGTGCATGCCAGACCCAGGAGTGAAAGCCGCACCTCCCGACTGTGATTTGCACTAGTAGAACAACAGTCCGAATACAAGCACAGTGTCCCACGTGTTCTGTAGCCACAGTTCAGTGGTTTTTTCAACCTGGGCTACAAGACGTATGTCTCAAAGAGCAGGATATAATCAGTGTTAGTAGTTTACTCAAAGCAGACTCTCTTAAATGGGCAGGGACACTCGCTGATCAGAGGGAAGGCTACTGTCGTTTTACCGTGAACCTGAGAGAGCTGTCTCATTTCTGTAGCGTTCAGAGGGGTCAGTGTGGGTGGGTGTTGCGTGGGTTTCTCAGCCGGACCTCCCTCCTCGTTGCAGCGCCCCCGGAATACGCAGACGTGGTGTCAGAGGAGGCGCTCTCCAGGCACGACCCCCCCCACCCCGCGCTGCCCAGCTGGGGGCCAGAGGCACACTGCCCCGCCTTCGCCTGCATTCCGGACTTCCGCTTCCAGCCTCCCCCTCTCTACTCAGAGGTAAGCGAGGCAAGGGAAGATCCACCCCACTTGCATTGCGCTGTTCCTAAGTAATCCTTCATAAGTGTCTGTGGCTAAATCCTAATTAGTAGGGGATGCGTGCTTTAAAACAACTTCTTAACGGCGATGACAGAGGATCACTGTTGTCATTCAGCACCGCCGTTTCAGCACCTTCCTTGTCGCCCGCAGCGTGCTGGAGCGCGGATTGCCGTCTGGGGGTCTGACGTGGCCGTGGGGCACGTGGAGACTTGGAGCGGCCTCCTGGGGCTCAGCAATGACCCCAGGCTCTGGGCCACTCGGCCGACGCCCAGATCCCCAGCACGGAACCCGAGACAGAGTCGTCTCAAGGGACGCCGCGCTAGTAACCCAACCTGCTCTCTCCTGCAGGTCGACCCGCATCCTAGCAACACGGACGAGACCCCCCAGCCCGTCTCCTTCATTCTGTGAACGCGTCTCGGAAACCACTGTGATCGTCCCCCCAGGGAGGACGCCGGCTCTCGTCCCCTGCCTTCTGGGCAAGCGGGAGGGAAGATTCGCTTAAAGGACCCCAACGAACATCAGCACCAAGAAATTAAAGAGTACGTGGACTGCCCGGCAGGCTGGCAGGATTGTTGCCCGGGTGTGTGGTGGGGCCGCGTGTCCCCTTTGGAGATCGGCAGCCCGTGGACGTCGCAGAGCGGAGCGGGAGCCCCGATGGGGACAGAGTAAGAGGAGGGGCCCGAGCTGACCGCATTCTGTGTGCGCAGAAGAAGCACACTACGCAAGGGCTCTCAGGGCGGAGCAAAGGCAACCCGGGAGCCCTGGGAGGGGGCCTGACTATGGGGAAGTTGGGGTGTGCAGGGGCAGAGGAAGGCTGAGTCCGAACGCCGACTGAGACCCCCCGGGGGCTGGGGGCCGCTGGTCCCCTCCCCCACACATCCCGCAGGCCTGTGGTCCGTGGAAGACCAGTTCCTGAGACCATGGTGGTTGGAGGCCCTCAGGAAGGGATTGGGTTTCCACTCTTTCTGGGCCCATTCAAAACAGTTGAGACATTGGGGGTCCAATATTACGAACCCAAGAAAGGGTCCCTTGAAAGGCATGTGAGTGCAAAGGGGAAAGGTGAATTCCCACACGGGGACACCTCTTGTCAGAGGCTGTGATTTCTACCCTCTTGAGTACTTGAACAGGACTCGTGTGTGACTGTCCTCACACCCTATTTACCTAAGAGCATCCTGGACAGAGAAGGGGACAGGTGCGTCCTTGGGATGCCGCGGCACCTACACAGGAAGGCGCACCAAGGGCTCGTTCTCACCTACCTCCGGCGGGCGATCGGACTCGTTTTCAGACTCGGTCTGATGGGTCTCGGGGGCGGGGGGCCCCGGCCCTCGGCAGGGGCGCCTAGGGCTCGCCTGTCACTGCGTCTGGAACCGAACCCCAGGGAGCCCCTGCACGGTTGGCAGGAGACGGGAGTTAACGCAGGTAAACCAAAGGCATCTCAAAAGAAACGCAACACTGATTCAGAGGGTAGAAATGACGTTTTTTGAAAAGGCGCTCGGACTGGGTTCGTGCCAGGAGACTCGCGTCCCCCGAGGGCGGGCCCTGCCCGGTGCCTCCTCAGTCCCATTCCTTAGTCATGCTCTGGAAACTGTGATTCTATTGTTCTGGTGCAATATTTTATTAGCATTTAACCTCAGGCTGTTGAGGCCAACGAGATGATGTTGCTGCCGAGAGTCCGAGGAGCTGTTTCTCCTGCCGCCTCTGCTCTGCTGGCGTGGGAGCTGAGAGCACTTCTGCACGGGGGGCAGGCGAGGCAGGGGTGCCTGTGGTGGGTGGGTGGGGATCGGGGACCCCCTGAGGGCTTCCTCTGACGGAGAAACCCTGGTGCTTCCCAGGGGAACACTTCAGTTCACTCAGCAGAACGGTACCTTCAGTGAGAAAGAAAAATTCTTCCAAGGTGAAATGTGGTCTTTAAAAATGAGTCCGCCACTAGGTGATCCGATGATCGGGGATTTTTCTTCGAACGGGAGGTGTGAGTGGGCATGTCTCAGCCCGCTGGGCACGCCTCTCTCCTCTGTGGTACGTCGGCGTCACACACGTGTCTCAGCGTAAGCCGCCGTTTAAGGTCGATGCTGACGCTCAAGGTACCAAAACTGCCACCAAACCGTCCCCTGCCTTGGTCTTTGATTTTCCTTGTTTTGGTGTGTGTCTTAAAACAGGTGTGTGTACTGACCACTCCGTCCAAACCGTTTTTACTTTTAAAAAGATCCTCTTCCCCTATTGGCTGACTTCTAATTAGTTGGTACGACTCATGAGAGACACCGTCCATCCCCAGGACGGGAAGACAGAGTGAGGGCGTGTGTGGCAGAACAGAGGGGTGTTGGGGGGGGAGAGAAAGTCTGTTTAGCTCCAGGTAGAAAAGCAAGTACTTCCTGCCATCCTTCACTGGGCTTGCTTCATCAGCTTTATCAGTGGGGTCAGGACGTGAACAGGAAGCGGAAGCAAAGCCGATGGACGTTGTATTTCTTAAGGGAACAGCAGAGTCAGTTGGCCTTACTGAATTCCCACCGGCGTATCTGACCTCCGGCCGTGGGCTGCAGCCCCCACACACACCTTTTCTCGATCACGAAGTTGTGTCTCGAGAATGCAGCCAGTTCCGCATGGGAACAGAACACTTGGACATGAAGGTCAAAATCTAGCTGCTGCATTTGCTTCTCTAGTCCTTTGTGTCGTTTGCAAACAAACTGTGGCCTTAGAACTTTCTTTTCGATGCAAAAAAAAAAAATGCCGAAATTGAAAATGTGCAGCTTTTGGCACCCAACATCCTTCCGTGGGCAGAACTCACTGATTTTCGTTGCGTTTTGCACAGTAAGAAACTCCATAGGCAGGGGTTATGTTTTCCATAAGTGGACCATGAAAGCTTTTTTTAATTTTTTTTTATTGAAAATGTAACAATGCACAGGGGAAACAAAGATTGTATTTTGTACTCTTGTTTGAACCCTATGGGTTCCTTTTATTAATAAACCGATCCCACTGAGACTGGGAGTGGCCTGTTTTGTTTCGTGCCTGTAGGACTGCGGCTTAAATTGTGGTGGACGGGAGGGAAGTGGACACCACACAACGAAACCTTGCAGCTGGACAGACGCTGCTGTGCCTGGGGCTGTCCCGAGGCCGGGAGTGGCCCCTGGGGGGTCGCGCCCAGTGTGCTGGGGGGCTCAGTTTCCCCAACGTCATCAGCTTTCAGCATCCCGTGAAGAAGAGCGGTTAGGATGCATGAATAAGCTCTATTGGCGGTTGGGAGAGCATTTATCTGCCTTTATTCCCAAAGGAGAGTGGCCACTTTTACAGTTTCTGGAGTTTTCGTAGTCTTGGACCAGAGTCTCCCCGGGACTGATTTAGTGGGGCCCGGTGGGCAGCCGGTGGAACCTCAGTGACCTAAATAAACCTCTCCTCTCGCCCTGAGTACGCGCATGGACAGAAGACATGTTCTATACAAGGAATCCGAAAACCGCCCAGATCCTCTGTCTTAGAAAATTAACCTTAGCTAACTGGTTTTAAAAAAAAAAAAGCCCAGTAATTTACTCTTCAGTGTTTGTAACATGAGATCATGCTCAATAATAAGTAAGTGGTGTCTGTATCGGCACTTGGAATGAACATGAATTAAGGTATGTGTCTCATGCAGTGGGTATTGAGATGAAATGCAGGTTTCTGTAGTTGATCCTATAGAGTTGTGGATTAAAAAATTTAGAACTAGGCAGGACGGTAGGGGCAATCGAGGACAAAGCCCTCACATGGCCCAGGAGGGCCCCCAAGCCCAGAGGTGCACCCAGGAAGTCTGTGCACCCGGGAGGGCCCCCAAGCCCAGAGGTGTACCCTGGAAGTCTGTGCACCCGGGAGGGCCCCCAAACCCAGAGGTGTACCCCGGAAGTCTGTGCACCCGGGAGGGCCCCCAAGCCCAGAGGGGCACCCGGGAAGTCTGTGCACCCGGGAGGGCCCCCAAGCCCAGAGGCGCACCCGGGAAGTCTGGCCTGCATGCCCTGCGAGGTCCTTGCTCACGCCCACACTTGCTGATTCCACGGCTTTCACAGAAGCTATGGGGCAGGGATCACTTTAATTACACGGTCGGGGCCTCGCAGACCTGGACACGCAGCATGGACGCTCAACCAAGTCTTTGCTGTTTGCATCTAAAAGCCCCGACTCCTGAAGGGATGCCCGTCTCAGACTAAATTGCTTCCTAAGTGTGTTTAATGAGTAGCTGGCACCCTTCAGCAGAGACGTGCTTCTCACTCTAGATTTTGAAATAATTACAGACTCTCCAGAAGCTGCAGGTTCAGTAGAGCGATCCTGTGTATCCACCGCCCAGTCTCCTCCACAGGTAACACCTCACCCTATAGACACGTTCTCAACGTCAGGAAACTGATGTTGACACAATGCCTGCAATCACCAGAGCTCGGGCCTCGCCTGGGTGTCACTCGGCTTTGAATGCGCTCATTGTTCTGGTGTGTGCTCATGTGTCTAGTTCTGTGACATTTTATCACACATCTCAGTGTATATCATCCCCACGATCAGGACACAGGATTCCATCGCCACCAGGAAATGCCCTCGGGCCTGTGCAGTCTCACCCTCCCCTGCCCGGGCCCCCCATCCACCTGTTCTCTGCCCTGTAATGTTGTCACCTGGAGGACGCTAGGTAATAGGAGTCACTCAGTGAGTGTCTCTTCGGTGGGCTTCCCCACTCAGTGCAATGCCCTTCAGATCCAGGCGAGTTATCATACCAAGAGTTTGTGCTTTGAAGCCCTGGCTGGCGTAGCTCAGTGGATTGAGCACGGGCTTTGAACCAAAGTGTCGCAGGTTCGATTCCCAGTCAGGGCACATGCCTGGGTTGCAGGCCATGACCCTCAGCAACCGCACATTGATGTTTCTCTCTCTTTCTCCCTCCCTTCCCTCTCTAAAAATAAATAAATAAAATCCTTTAAAAAAGAAAAAAAAAGTTTGTGCTTTCGTGTTTCAGCAGAGACATTTTAAAAGAAACAGATTGACGTGAAAAATTCCATTTTGTCACTTTCACTTGCAAAGAAAATGTGTTCACAGTTCTGGGCACACGGTACCTGTGTAAGTAGTTCAGTTTAGAATTTGGGAACTACTTTTTATGTTGAATATGTAAAAAGGCAGATCTCCACAGACTTAGGGACTCCCTTTGAGCTTGTCTAAGCACCTGAAGGATTCTTCCTTAAATAGCAAGCTACTGTATTATAAGCAGCAAAATGCACTCGAGTTTTTTTGCAAGTATAAACCAAGGAGAAGCTACCTTGGACTATGTATCCCATCAAGCCCCTGTACATGGTGAGTTTAATGCATATTTCACAGGAAAGAAACAACATTTGCCTTTGTGGGTTTTTTTTTACTAAATTCTGTTCTTTTTCTTCTTTGCTGTCTGATCTTTGATTCCCTTCTCCCCAGTACAATTTCCTAATATCTGTGATGAAAAGCCCGGTTAGAAGCTGAGAAAAATTAATGCTAAAATACACACTGGCCCTTAATGAAACAATACTGTAAAACACGGACTTACTCGTGAACAGTATTCAACTTTTCTGGACAGGAGAAGTCACTTTACACAGCGGCCATTAACATAGGAACGTAAGGAGTGCTTCCCTCCCATGCAACATGACTCTCAGCAGTGTAATGAGGCAGCCACACACACTCAGCGAGTCGGGGAGGGCAGACAACGCGGTGACAAGAGCCCGTGCCCAGAGTGTCACTGTCACTGAATCCACGGGGAAATGCTTCCTAGGTAGTGGAGCGGCCTCTGTGTCCCGGTGGGAGGTGCTCCCCCACTCACAGTTTGGAGGAACCGAGAGGCCCTGCATGGGCAGGAGGAGACGCCTCGGGAAGCACCCCTGGGTGGGAACCAGTGAAAACATTCACACACACGCACACACTCAGGCGCCCCAATCTGCACCCTCTCAGCTCACCTTGACCTTCACACCTGGGTCTGCAGACTCACAGAGGAACGTGAGTCCTGTTACACGAGGCAGAAACAGGCGGTGGCTCCCTGCTCCCGCGCGAGGACTGGCGGCCAGCACCCCGCCTGTCTTCCCCAACATACGAGCCCAGTAGGGGTGCCAGGGAGCTCGTGCTGAATGGGCGAACTGCGGGTAGTGGGTGCCAGGAGTTGACCTTTTTCTTTAAAGAAAAAGTGACTGCGTGACCCCACCGTCACTGACCCACCCTGCCCGCAGCCCCGCCCCTGTGCTGCCACTGAAGGACACGGAGCTCCCACACAAAGTTGCAGCACTTGTGCACGCCGTGTTCACTGTGCAATGCTCACGCACACACAGTGCAATGCTCATGTACACACTCCCTTCGCCAGACGGCGAAGGCACCGTCCCGGACTCCACGTGAGAAGCCTTCGAGGTTTGATCAGCTCGCGGGTATGCGTGTCACTGCAGACACGGGTGTGCCGAGAGGACCCAAGGACAGGACGGAGGGTTATGGCCCGCAGTGAGTTAGCTTCCTTCCAACCACGGCTCCAAGCCACAGACGCTGCGCCTCTCGAGTGGAGACTTCACCCCACGGGCAAGACAGCTCACCAAACACCGCTATGCTTTGCTCGCACAGCAGGGGACTGGAGCGGGGGCATGCGATCGTCACCGCTTCGCCCCACTGCTAGGGGGAAACCCCACAAAGGATGTGCCTGCTGCTGGGGCTGATACGCTGGTGGGCAGAGGACATGCGAAGGGCATGGAGGCTTTGCTGCATCTCGCACACCCCGGCCACTGCAGGGCAGGGTTCTGGAGCAAAACCCTGCACTTGAAGCACAGCGGTCCGTGGCACAACCACGGAGGGGCGGGAGCCCGAGGGGTCAGTGCCAGGAGCCACACACACTGCGCGATGGCTCTGTGAGAGCTTTGCTCTGTGTCGGCGGCGTCACAGTTCCGAGGGAGCCGAGATCACGGAATAACAGCTCCGGGGCCCAGCACGCTTATCCCGGTCTTCTCCCGGCTAACCCAAAGCAAGCCGGGGAAGCGCGTGCGTGCCTGCCTACGGGCAGGAGGACAGCAGCACTAAGAAAAAGCATCCAGCCGCCTCTGTCTGCCTTGAGGGAGGATGACATCAGGGACTCCTGGCAAACCTCTGACGACAACCTGCTTCTGCAGGGTGGGGGGACCCGAGCGCAAACCTCAATGTTCGCTCTTCACCAGCTGGGCCTTCTTGACGAATGCAGAAAGCCGGCACCGGAGGGAACCGTGGCAACCAACACCTAGTTTTCTCTCACCCGACAGAACAAAAAACCCAGGTGAGACGTCGGAAGACAGCTTTTCTCCAGAGAGAAGCAGGGTCTCTTCGGGTAAATGGGGCGTTTGTAGGAAAATTGGCACCCAAAGCCGCTTTACGGCAACCAGTGTCGGCACTGTCCTCCCCCAAACGAAACGCAACAAAACGAACCCCCCCCACCCCCCGGCGCCCACGGGAAGATGCCTGACCCCGTGTCTGCATGGGAATTCCCCTCGGCCCCGGCTTTGCTGCTGGTCCCGATACAGAGGCCTCCCAGGGAAGCACGGAGTGGGCGGGTGGGGCCCCGCAAACGGCGGGTTAACCCTCCTCACCCGGCCTCGCCCAGCGGTGCACACCAGGGCCTCAGCTCCCCCTGACCAGTGCAAGACACACAGCCCCTCAGCCGCTCTCAGGCCAATGCTGGAGGGAGCTGGTAGGGCACGCCTGGCCCCAGGCCCGGCCCCAGGCCCGGCCTGAGCCTGGGCCCCTGAGCGCCCGCCTGGCTCCGCCACTGCCTCCCGCTGTCTTCGCAGGAAGGACTGGGCGCGTGCCCCTCCTCCCCAAGACGCCCCCCCAACCATCTCCCAGGTGGCTGCATCCACCAGCGAGCCCCCGCTCCCGGTGGGCAGAGTCACCGAAAAACAGGGCGTGTCCCCGCGTGGCTGCAGGAGGGAGCTCTGAGCGACAGACTGGGCAGAGGGGCGCACCAGGCCGCTGTTAGGTCCACAGGGACGTGTCTTTCTGAAATACCCTAACCCCGTAGG